GTCCGACGGACCAAATCTTTCAAGGACCTAAGGATTTAGTCCGTCAGACCAAATCCGTTATAAAATCCACTCGTGTATGTCTACCTATTGAGAACCAATTATTGATGGATTTTTATCTTTTGCAAGCTTCACAAAACCCGATCGTGATCCTAGCATAGCAGGGACACCGTCTGTACACCTACAACATTTTTCCAAGAGAGGCCATTCTGATCAAAAAATATATCGATGGCAGACAAAACGTCACTGCCTTTTGAGGTGGAACTTAAGGCCTGGGAAAACATAAGCTCTTCTGCAATGGTCTTTTCATTTATAAAACGGCAGTAAACTAATAGCTGACAACAATTGGCCACATCAGTTGATTCATCACACTGAATTGCAAAGAATACGGAATTTTTTAATTTATGAATCAACTGATTTTGTATATCCAAAGCTAATTCATCAATGCGTCGTTTGATTGTATTGTCTGAAAGAGATATTTGAGAAACTTTCCTTTTACTTTCTTCACCAAGTACTATTTCAACGGCTTTAAGTATGCTAGGCTTAATTAATGTTTCACCCAATGTATGTGGTTTCTTTTGCTGAGCCACCATAAAGGCGATGTGATATGAAGCTTCAATAATTTTTTCATTATTCTGTTGAAATTCTCCGGTTCTGTCAAGTTTCATTTTATTTAAAGAATTTTTTTAGCAACAAAAAACTCTTTAGGTTTTTCTTTTAGCATCGGACGAGCTGTGGTTAAATGTCGTTCTAGTCGACTTGGTCGGAGAGCATCGTTACTTAACACAACGTGACAAATAACACACTGTGGCATTTGGATACCATCCTTTTGAATGAACGTGAAACCAAAATTTATATAATCGTCGTTATACAATCTTATTTTCTGTGGAGTCATTATTTTTACGTATGTACACTCGCGACGACTACGTACTACGACACGTACAGTATGCGACTGCAAAACGAAACTAAATCGAGTCTAAACTAATCAAATAGCATTTTCCCTAACATCCTTTTATCGTTCCGATTAATTTACAGATAACGTAGCATAAAATTATTTATAGTCATTATCGGTTATCCATTAATGATACCCGAGAACGGATAAAGAGAACCAGTCTACTAATTTTATTTCTCTACGTTTTAAAATAAAAAAAATTTAATCAATAAAAATTGTCTTTCGTAAAAACTTCTTGCGCCTCCCCAGCAATGTGTACACGCCCCCCAGTTTGGGAACCAGTGCCGTACAGTAACCATTATCGAAAATGATTCCCCCCGAACTTTTATGCCTTGTTTACACGTGACAAGCACTCGGCCGTGTCACTCGTTATGTTGCTCGGTTTAATACCGAAATTGACCGAGTCAGTGTTTACACGTATTTTATTTGCTTGGCCGAGTGACACATAAGTTCACTACACGATCTACTCGGTTGACGGTTTATACACGCCGAGTACAGTTAATTTTGGTAGTAGCGGTAGTCGCTCGGCCAAGTGAATAGAAACGGTTTCTATTCATTCACTCAATCATTTTACTGGGCCGAGTACTGTTCTTTGAATTCACACGGGACAGTGCTCGGTCGAGTTGACTCTCTCGGCCGAGTATTCGTCACGTGTAAACAAGGCATTATTTACCTCCTATCAATTAGAATTGAGACTGTCGTTCGATCATCTCATTCGTTTTACGATGCCGTCGTCCGTCGTTATCGCTGAATTCGAAAATAGCTAAGAACATATTTTCATTAAATCATACGTATTCACACCACGATGAACAAAATATAATACACATATGCATATATATATATATATATATATAGTAAATATAGTTGACAACAGTATATTATTTACATATAGATTACACAAATACTTGAAAATAATTTAAAAAAATTAAAACAATTTTTTTTTTCCGATGTTATAATTATTGAGGAGACGCCGTCTCAAAGTTTCCCCTGACGCACCGCCACTAGTTCAATGCCATTGTCGACAAATATAGTGTTCACTTTGATGGCTTATAATTTTTACTGGCTACGCGATAATGTTTTGAAATTTATTGTAGACGATCTGGTTACTTAAGAATCTAAAAGATTATAACTCGATTCACACTAGCGGTCTCGGTTCGGTTCGGTCACAGTCCGATCACGGTCAAGTCATGGTCAGGTTCGATCAAGTCTCGACCGGTCGATGCACGATCCAGACTGCCGCGGTCACGAGCTTTTTTGATCGAGACCGCGTAGTGTGAAGAGTCAACCGCCGCGCTAGTCTCGGTCATATCCATTGTTTTGATTGTTTTTTGAACACTTTTGTACACTTTGTGGCAACACGTAGATAGAACTTGACTGATTGTGACCGGTAGTGAGAACTTAACATGATAATCATTGACCGTGACTTGACCGTGACCGGACTGAACCGAGACCGCTAGTGTGAATCGAGCTTAAGATTAATCTAAAAGATATAATTGGTTTTTAATTTTGTTTATTTTTAGTTGGGAAATTTATTTTTCCCCGAAATACGACGATATTTATCGCTGATGAGAATAGTATACCATATTATAATTTTGTTGTACCTCGACATTATAGGTTTGTTCGTTTTGTCAAAAAGTGTACCTTTTTTTACAACATTTATCGCCGGTGTTGACGCATAGTCGACTGTACGTAGTTTTAGCGCAGCGAAACGTGCACTGCGCCATAAACACTAGCGGAGCTCAACGTGTTAAAAAACAAATATTATATGATCATATTGTTTTTTTGTTACAAGGAATCAGTGGCACACGCAGGGGGGGGGGGGGTTAAGGAGTTGTAACTCCTCCTCCCTCGAAATTTCCTCCGAGGTCTAAGTTAAAATTTACAAATTTTACAAGTTTGAAATATGAAAAGCTATTATTGAATACCTACCTAGTATCATTGATTATAGAATAATCTATTCTATTATCAATACTATTATTTAAGTCAAAATATATAAAGGATTTGCATAATTTTGTTAATTGTAAGATATGTTATATTTTTACCTTG